CTCTCCCGGGGGTATTTGGGCTGCCTTCAGAGTCTCAGCGTCTTAGACCACCAGAAGGGGGTGATTGTAGATCTTCTGGTTTTTTGGTTTTTTTTTTTTTTTTTTTTTTTTTTGGCTGTGGATGCTCTTCAAGACTGTCTTCTCGGCCTTTGATGCCTTTACTTTGGCTTCAGTTTTGGGAGGGGCAGGGGCTTCCTTCTTGGCTTTTGGCTCCATCTTTGTAGAAAGGGCACACATAATCATTTTGTATTTAGGTTGTGCCAGAGGGCTTAGTGTGACTTTGTTTTGCAATGGAGTGTGTTTCTTCACCCATCCTCCATTTTAACATTCTCTCTTCTTCCTTTCTCAGGGATCTTGAAGCCAGAGCACAGAAGGAGTTTTTCCGGGCTTTCTTCAGGTTGCCCAGGAAGGAGAAGCTTCACGGGGTCATGGACTGCTCCTTGTGGACACCATTTAATCGCTGTCACACCCCAGGGCGGATGTTCACCTCTGATAGTTATATCTGCTTTGCTAGCCGAGAAGATGGCTGTTGTAATGTTATCCTTCCACTTAGAGAGGTAAGACCTTCTGCCTCTCACCACAGCTGGTTTTGCTTTAAGGAGTTACTGTTCAGCTGCTAGCCAAAGAGTTGTTGGTTCAAACCTCTGGCCCTCAATGAGAAAAAGTCATGGCAGTCTGCTTCTATAAAGATTGCAGCCTTGGACTCTCTGAGGTAGCTCTGCTTTCTCCTGTCGGATTGTGATGTGTTTGTTTCTTTGGTTTTCATTTTTGGTTTGGTATGGATTACTTTGGTTTTGTTGTTGTTAAGTGCTATCAAGTCACTTGTGACTAATAGTGACCCTATGTACAACAGCTCTGAACTCTATCCTGAGTCAACCTTATTGTCTCTGACACGCCTGCCCGCATTATCTCAGTCACTGAGTCAGTTCTATCTCATCTAAAATATTCCTCTCTTGTACTGTCCCTTTACCCTTCCAAGCATAACCTTTTCCAAGGACTGGTACCTCCTTGCAACATGCCCAGAGAATATCAGATGGAGCTTCAAAATATTTGCCTCCAAGGTACAGCCCATTTTCACCCTATCCAAGGGGAACCTGTTTGTTCTCCTAGAGTATATTCAATACTCTTCTGCAGCACCACAGCTCAAAGGCATCAGATTTTTTTCTATCATCCTTAATCATTGTTCAGCTCTCTGAAAATAATAGTAAATAGCAAGTAATTGTGAAGACCATGGCGTAGGTCAGGTACACCTTAGTCTCTAGACTGACATCGTTGCTCTTAAGTACTCTAGAGAGATCCCTGACAGGAGACTTTCCCAGTGTAATTCCTATTTTGTTGTGCTGGCTACTTGTACCAAGAGTATTGATTGTGGAGCCAAGCAAGCTGAAGCTGTTAACAATCTCAATCTTTTCAGCACCTATCATGATGCTGCCATTTGGCCTAGTGGTGAGAATCTTTGTTTTCTTGATGTTGAGCTTCAGTCCTTGTTTAAGGCAGCAGTTGTTGACCTTCTTCAGCAAATACTTTAGGTCTGCCTCAGTTTCAGCAAGCAAAATTGTGTCATCTGCATAATACTGGTTGTTGATTAATCCTCCAATCCTGTTGCCACATTCCTCCTCGTATAGCCTGGCATTCCAGATGATCAGTTCTGCATACAGATTGAAAAGATAAGGAGATATATGCATCCCCGTCATACACCTTTCCTGATTTTGAACCATGCAGTGTTTCCTTGCTCTGTTCTAACAGCTGCCTCCTACTGCAGGTGTAGGTTTCACATAAGCACAATCAGATGTTCTGGGATGCCCATTCTTTTTAGAGTCAACCATAGTTTGTTGTGATTCACACCGTCAAATGCCTTTGCATAGTCAATGAAATACAGATATTCCTCCGATACCCTCTGCTTTTGGCATCCCTAATATGTACTTTTTGCAACCAGGCTTTTATCATTTTAACTGGCAGATGCTGGGTGTGAGATGAGCCCAGGAAGAACTGGAAACACAGCAAGCCATCGTCATCATCTGCAGATGGACATCTAGACGCCCTTGCTTATTAGTGGTAGCGAGGCCTGCACATTTTTGGTCTATGCCTTTTAACAGGAGAGGCCAGTCCTTGGAAAAAGACATTATGCAGGAAAGTTAGTGGAAGAGGGGAAGACCCTCAGCAAGATGGGTTGGCTCAATAATTTTAACCTATGCATAGCAGAGAGGTAAGGATAGCACAGGGTGCGGCAGGGTTCTACTGTGTTGTTGATAGGGTCACTATGAGTCAGAGTTAAGTCGATGGCACCTGACAGCCTAACAACAACACTGATCATATTGATAAAGCGGTTATTCAAATGCTTATGCTTACCCGTGCAAACCACAAGGCCTCTTCTAGCCCAAGATCAGAAAAACCAGGTGGTTCCCGGCTGCCACCACCCTCTGCTTTCACTAGAGACATAATAGGATGTCCTGGTTAAAATGAAGTCAAAATGTTGTTGTTGTTGTTGTTGTTATGTGCCGTCAAGTTGCTTCCAACTCATAGCGACCCTGTGTACAACAGCCCTAAATGCTGCTCTGTCCTGTGCCAATTGCACTGTCTCTGACACTCCTATCCTGATTATCCCAGTCACTGAATCAATCCACCTCATAGAGGGCCTTCCCCTCCTGCGCTGTCCCTCCACCCTCTCAAGCATGATGTCCCTCTCCAAGGACTGGTCTCTCCTCACAACATGTCCAAAGTATGTCAGACGAAGCCCCAGAATCCTTGCTCCAAGGAGCAGCCCAGTTTGACCCTTCCAGGATGAATCTGTTTGTTTCCTAGCAGTCCATGGTATACTCAATACTCTTCTCCAGCACCACAGCTCAAAGGCATCAATTTAATTTTAAAAAAGAGCTAGAGAGAGACCAAACCTACTGTTTTAATAGAGTAGAGAAACAAAACTCCTTTTTAACCTGAAACTGAAGTGATTCCTTAAGCACACCTTTCAGCCAAATAATGAATTGACCTGTGAAATAAACAATAAAAATGAACAATGTAGTACTTTAAACAACCAACGCTATATGACCAAATAGTCAACAATTACCAAGAGCAAAGCTAAGAAAAGTAACATGGATGGATGGAGATGGGGCAGGCAGGCCGGAGACGAAGAGAGGGCTGATGGACTGCGAACCCAGCACTGTAACCACTGCCACAGAGCAGTTTGTGTATGAACTGTTGAGTAGAAATCTATTTTATTATATAAGCTTTTGGCAAAATGCAATCAAATATTAAAAAAGAAGGAAACATGCATGTTTAGCAATGAATGTTTTCCCAATAACTCAGGAACCATCTTTCCCTTTCACACACCAAAAAAGAAAAGGCAACTCATAGAAGCTTTGCTTTTTGGAAAGGAATTACAAACAACTTGATATTTATATTCTCCTGGGACATTAGCTAAAAATGAAAATATTATTTTCTCATATTTGTTTCCTTCATCCTCAGTTATTGAAAGTGACCCCCTGTGGCAAAGTAGAATTTCCCAATGTGCTTGTCCGGGCTGTCATTTTTGTGGGAACATATTGGCAGGTCTTTGAGTTGCTAGTGGGTAGGTTCAAACCACCAGCATTTCAGTTTGCAGCTGAGCCGGTAGCTGTGTGTCACCAGGGCTGCCTCTTAATATCAAATTGTGTAATTACACTCTTGGGAATGGGAGGGACTTACACTGACTTCCAAGTCTAAGCATCACAGGCCTTTGATTTTCTAGGCAGCACTTTGCTTCTCTGGCTATGAGAAGAGCCAGTGACTCAGTGACATATCATGTGTTAATTGAACACTGCTCTTGGAAGAACTCAAGGCCCTTTGCTCTCTTCTACTCCCATGCCATTATTGGAGATACCTTTATTTTACAAATTCTCATACTTAAAGGTTGAGCAAGAAATCCAGTAGCTGCCTTAATATACTTTTTTTTCATCTCCTGCACCAGTTCCTAATTGCATCTATTTGATTTTTACCTTCTAAGATGGACTATTTTCTAATGAAATGGAATTTAATGTCATCTTTCTGTCTCTGTTGTGCTGTCACTCTGTGTGGGCTCCTTTCAAACAGGTAGTGAGCATTGAGAAGATGGAAGACACCAGTCTGCTGCCTAACCCCATCATTGTCAGTATCAGGAGCAAGATGGCCTTCCAGTTCATTGAGCTCAAGGATAGAGATAACTTGGTGGAGAGCCTGCTGGTGAGGCTGAAGCAGGTCCATGCCAATCACCCCGTGCATTATGACACCTCGAGGAATGAAGACATGGTATGACACTTCAAGTCAGTGAGGTGCTGCAAAAATCTCCAGGGATGGGTTTCATCTAAAGATGATCTACTGAGATACAAGAGAAATATGTTAGCTACTGGGTCACTGTGTCTGACAGTCCATTAACATTTCTGATACATCAGATATCCTAAGTCGATGTTTAACAGATTAAAGGGCTAGCAAGGTACCCCTATAAATGAGAGAGGCTAATGGGTTACCCCTCAGTTATAGGATTAATGAGACACCTCCATCATAGGCTGAAGAGGTCAATGGGGCATCCTGGCACATTAGAGGAATTGATGGGGTAACCCCACATGTTAGAGGGGTTGAGGGGAGCAGCCTTACACATGTTAGAGGGATTGGTGAACACTCATAGGTTAGCGTGTTTGATCAGGCTCCCTCCATAAAGCAGCAGGATTGACAAGATGCCTTCCATATTTGGAGACATTGGTAGGACAGCTGTCTCTAGGTTAAAGGGTGGATGTTGTTATGCGGAGCCTAGTTGGGACTGACTCAGACCTGCCCTCCAGCAAGTTTTCAGAGGCAGTTGCTCACATGGGAGGAGACTGCCTGTCTTTCTCCCACAGCGCAGCTGGTGGATTCAAACCTTGTGTCATGTCTTTCAGCAGCCATGCACTTAACCATTTGCACCATTTGCAGTAATATTGAAATCTGTTTATAGTCATTCCTCCAAAAGCCGAATAAAAATGACTCCATAATGAAAAGCAATGGTTTTCTTTCTTTCTTTCTTTCTTTTTTTGGCCATGTAGACTTCACCTGTGTTTCATTCACCAAACATGTGCGGTGACCACAAATTTGGAGATCATGAAATGGTATCTCTTCAAAATAGTGAGGAGGGAAGTGAAAAAGAGAAGAGCCCGCCGCTGAACCCTGAGGCACTGATCGCCATCTTCCAGCAGTCGGGCGGCCAGAGCCCCGACTCCCTCGTGGTAAGTAACGTATCTGTGCCCGCTGTGGGCACCTGTGAGGCTGTGCTGTTAGGATGGGTGCTGTTTCCCGGTTGTCTGATCAGTTATAGAAGGTGGCGTCTCTCTGTGACTCCAGCAGGGCCTCGGGAGGCTAGTGTACCTTGGGTTGCAGAACAGGCTCTTTTACGTGATTTGTGCACTTTCTGCCCCATTTCCATTGTTGGCAAAAAGTGAGAGGCTCAGTGGTGTTAGCTTCCTGAGCAGTCCCGAGAGAGGTGACAGTAATGGCTGGGAGTATCTGGCTCTTCTTACCTGCCCCTGTGGTGATTTTTTGATACAACTCATGGCTGCACAGCAGGGCTGCCTGACACAGTAAGCAAGGTATACTTGGATCCGAGCGTGCCCTCCCACCAATCTGCAGTGAGTGCAGTTTCACCTGCTGCTCACCACATCTAAGATGTGGAGAAATCCCTGTGGAATTACTCTCCACACCCCACCAAGTACATGACATTAAGCCCGTGCACACCTTGCTCGGTGCACGTCAGTGCTATGGTGCTCACTGCTCTGTCCATTTTGTTACATGGCTTGGGGTCAGCGCTGTCTCAAGAGGGCTTACTGGTTGCAGAATGAGTCTCCCCCACTTTATAGAGCCTTCTTTTCATTTTCAGCCAGTGGTGTCTGTGTGAGTATTCCTTGCCTCAGTTTTTCGCTTTTGTCTTTTGGGCCTAAAGGGACAGCATCTTCCACTTTTACTGAGCTAAAAATACTGCCATTAGATTTACTTGTAGTTTTTTTTCCTCTGAGGGAAGATTTGAGGCATGTACAATAAGGTAAATAGTTTAAAACTTATCCTTTGAAATAGTGCCATGGAACGTAGGAGACCGGTGTTACCAAGTAGTGGCTCTGAACATTATTAATTAATCTTTTGTGATTCTTCTTCGTCATTAAAGCATTCTTTTTACTTGACTGATGGCTGTTGGGGTATTTTTTAATTAAAAAATTATCCTTCTCCCATACTCTACACATAGATGCACAATAAATTCTTTTTTGACTAAATTAAAATATTCACTCTGGTGGCCTAGTGGTAAGGAATTGTGCTGCCAACCCAAAAGCACTTGGTTCAAATCCACTAGCTGCTCTGTGGAAGAAAGATGGACAGTCTCCTTCTATGCAATTTGTAGCCTCTGAAAACCTGTTGGAGGATCAACGATGAGTCAGTTCTGACTGGATGGCATCTAATAGCTAATAACGTGTATACTCCCCTCACTGATGAGAACACAAATCATTGAAAGCACGTATAAAGATCCTCTTGAAAAGGCACTTTGAAGATCCCTGCCATCTAAGGAATATTATTAAATGCTTTTATTTGCTTAGGGATTGACACATCCTCCGCATATTAGAGGAATTGATGGAATACCCTTACATGTTAGAGGCCCTGATGGAATATCCCTTGTCAAGGATTGAATTCTGTCTCCCCAGAATACATGTATATAATTAAATGCTGTGGTAACTGTGTAATGGTCCCCATGATCTGATAAACCAAATAGTTCTAAGAGGATGGAGGACAGGATGCAGCATCCCTTGATCTCTTCACAGTCCCTATCTGAGGTTAGAGGAGTTTTCCTGTGGCCTGTGACCCTCTCATCCCCACAAGAGATAAAGTAGAGGAAAGTGAGCCAAGAGAGAGGCCCTCAGTAAGGAAGGATCCTACACTAAGGAAGGATCGCCAGGAGTGGAGTGCAGCCTCTTGGATTTGGGCATTTATGCTAGGAAGCTTCTTGACAGCAAGGAAGGCCAAGACACATGGACATCTCCGAGGAATGCTATCTACTGATGCCAAAGGAAACAGAGACCTCCTCTAGCCCTGACAAAGCTGGTACCCTGCATTTGGACTTGAGCTTTCTAAACAGTAAGAGAATTAACTGTTTGTTAAGGCAGTCCATGGGTAGTATTTCTATTACAGCAGCACTAGATAACTAAGATAGAATTTTCAAAAGAGTGAGGTGCTGCTCTAACACATACCTAAAATGAGGAATTTTTGGTGGCCCAGTGGTAAGTAGCCACTCAAAAGGCATGCATTTCAAATCCATCAGCTAAAAAAAAAAAAAATCCCCCAGCTGCTCTGCAAGTGAAAGGTGGGCCGTCTTTTGCTGGGCGGTTTACTTACTGCCTCTGAAAACCTGCTGGAGGGTCAGCCATGGGTCAGTTGTCACTCAATGATACTAAACAAAAACAACTGATGTATTAGAGGAATTGATGGGATAGCCTTGAACTGTGTCTTCCCCAGTACAGCATATTGCACTGGGTCTGACTCATTGGTACTAAACAAAAACAACTGATGGAGGAATTGATAGGATAGCCTTCAATTGTGTCTTCTCCAAAATAGCATAATGCACTGGGAAAAGTCTGCAGTTAGGGACCTCTCCAAGTTATTGAGGAGTATTGAATGATTGATGCCAGTTTGAAGACTAAGATTCATCTGTTTCAGGCATGGTCTTTCCCATCACTTCCTGTGTGTATGAGAACTGGACAGTGGATAAGGATGGGAGAAGAGTTGATGTCGTTGAGCTGTGATGTTGGAGAAGAGCACTGAATATCCCACGGATGGCCCATTGAACAAATAAATACATCTTGAAGAGGGTGCAGCAAGAGAGCTCTTTGGAGGCAAAGATAATGAGGCTTGCCTCACAAACTTAGGGGCTATTCCTTGGAGAGGGACATGATTCTCAGAAAGGTAGAGAATTGGCAAAGGAGAGAAGACCCTCGACCAGGTGGATTGACATGGTGACTGCTGCAGTGGGCTCTAATGTGTTGGGAAGTGTGAGGATGGCACAGGATAGGACAGGGTTCAGATCTGTTGTTCATAGGTTTGCTGAGGGTCCTTGCCTCAACGGCACCTAACGGCAACAATAGTAATATGACGTGGAATGTTCCCCATGATGTGATGAACCAAATATGTGTATAATGCATTATGGGTAGAAAGCTACTCCCCTTAATCCCATGACAACCCTAATCTCATGTACAGGAAATTTCCCTAGGGTGTGATCTTTAGCATCTTTTATTTCCCAAGAGATAAAGGAATAGGAAAGTAAGCCAAGAGAAAAGAGTCTCTGTACTGCCAAGAAAGAACTCATGGGAGTTGAGTGTGACGTTTTGGACCCAGGCCCCTGCACTTAAATATACTGAAGGAAATGAGAACCTTCCTCCGTAACAGAGAGGGTCTTCCCCTTTAGCTGGTACGCTGTATTTGAAATTCTAGCTCCTTAAATGGTCAGAGAATAAATTTCTGTTTGTTAAGGCAATCAACTTGTAGTATCTTCTATTGTGTACCATAGAGTTGGAACCAACCCATAGCTAACCCTCTGGAGGGTTTTCAGAGGCAGTTAATTGCAGAGGAAGAGATTGTCCATCCCCCTCCCACAGTACAGCTGGTGGCCTCAAACCGTGTGCCTTCTGAATTGCAGCACAACTTCTTGCCACTAGGCCACCAAAGCCTAAGACATGCTGACATGTTAGAAGGGTTATTAGCAGTTGCACTGCTAATCCAAAAGAGGTTCCTCTCTGGCAATTTGAATAAAGCAGCCACTCCACCGGAGGATGGGCTTGGGCAATCTCCAGTTCAATTTACTGCCTCCAAAAACTTGCTGTGGGTGTTTTACTGCCTCTAAAAACCCCAGTGGAGGCTCAACTATGAACTGGTTCCAACTCCATGGCAATAGAGAGAGGACCTTCCCATAACCAGTATCTTTCTTGTTTTTTGTCACATTAATGATAATAATTTGTTCAGATTAATGTCTTGGGTTGTTTTGGGTTTTTTCCCTCTAGCTATCAGGAAGCATGATCATTAAATTATGATGTCCCCTCCTTCCTCTTTGCCCTCTGGCCTAACCTGTGCTATACCAGCCACTCGGTGTCAACATCCTCAGGAAACCTTTCCTAATTTCACCACTGCCACCCTCCCAGCGCCTTTGTGCTGCTGCTTTTATGACTGGACATAACATATTGTTGTTTTCAACATTGTCAGGAAAGCTGCATTTTATTTGTGTAAATGCTCCCACTGGACTGTGGACTCAAGGACTGAACCTTCTTGTTGTTCACCTTGATATCCTCTGTGTTTGTTAGAATCAAACATGTTAGTTTCACAAACATGACCTGGAGGTGACTGCCGTAATGGTTGGTTTCTGGGTTAAAGGAGGAAGCACTTTCTCCATTAAGTGCTGTGGGTGGACTGTAGTGCGGGGGGTGGGTCAGCTTCTTTGTACATTAAGAATCTCTCCATTTATTTCTAGTCCAGAGAACAGATAAAGATAAGTCTGTGGAATGACCACTTTGTGGAATATGGAAGAACTGTGTGCATGTTCCGCACAGAGAAGATTCGGAAGCTCGTAGCCATGGGGATCCCTGAATCTTTACGGGGAAGGCTCTGGCTGCTTTTCTCTGGTAAGTGTTTCTGGTGTCTTTAAGCCAAATGTTGGTGCTTTGTAACTGATTCAGGATGTTGTTGTTATTGATTGCCTTAGAGATGAGCACGACACATAGTGACCCTATGAACAAAAGGCCTGAAGCCCTTCTACAACTATCAACATTTATCAAAGTTCATGGAGTTTCCAGAGGCATGTTGTTTAGGAAGTGGGTGACCCCAAGTCAAGTAGTCTGTGTGTGTAGAAGGAATCTGCTCCCTTGGGGTTAGTACTGTGCTGTTCCCAGCTGAGGGCTCCCGAAGCCTGACTGTTGGAGCTCTGGGACCTCGCTCCAGGGGCCTGCAGTCTCTGGGCGGCGGGGTTTCCCTCTGTAAATGTGGAGGTCTGAGCCAAATGATTCTCTTGTTTAAAAAGAATTTTAACGGTGAGAATTCTCTTCACAGCCCCCTTGGAAATGGAAGTAAAGTGTAATTATAGACATGAAATCTGAAATAGACTAAATAGGAAACAGTCATAGATTGTGCTCTGGTTGCACAGTGGTTTAAGCATTAGGCTGCTAACTGAATGGTCAGCTGTCCAAACCCACCAGCTGCTCTGCAGGAGAAAGATGTAGCATCTGCTTCTGATGAGGTAGTGACCTTGGAAACCCTAGGGGGCAGTTCTGCTTGTTCCTATAAGTTCATGGTAAGTCAGAATCGATTCAGTGGCAGTGGGTTTAGTTTGTTTTGTTTTGATATAGTTGTTGTTCCATACTGTCAAGTCCAAACCGTCTCATCGTTGACACTTGTTTGGGTTTTCAGAGGCAGTATATCAAGTAGAGGAGATTACCTATCTTTCTCCTGCAGAACAGCGAGTGGATTAGAACTGTGTGCCTTCAGATTGGCAGTGCAGCACCTTACCACTAGGCCACCAGAGCTCCTACAGTAAATCCTTCAGTATAGTTTCTATGTCTCTTCTGCCCCTGTTTTTTTTTTCTTTTTATGTAACTTAGTTCCCTCAGCAATGACTTCACCCAGCCTCTGAGAGACTCTCTTCAAGACACTTGTGGATAGATGTATTCTCCAGAAAAATCACCTTCATCTGTCACTCTCTAAGCCCAAGTAATTTCGCCCCCTCAGTAGAGGAATCAGAGACACCGTACACAAAAACCAGTTCAACAGTTTCTACATGTGTAATCCAATGACCTTGATTGCATCTTTCATGTTCATAACCTTTTTCTCTCTCCTTCTCCAAATTATTCTACTTTCCATTAAGATAAATTGTTCTGGGGGCAAAGAAGGGCAGTCTCCTCCCAGGTGGTTTCCAGCCATGGAAACCCAGTGAGTTCAGCTGTGAGTAGGTCTTGACTGAGTGGCAGTGAGGTGCAGTGCTCCCTTAGCTGCTTCTCTAACCTCTTGCGTTGCTGTTGTCAGCTTGTTCTCACAGAAGGCTCCTACAGAGAGCGCATGGTGGCTGTGAGGACGATCTGGCTGTGACATCTGTCACTCCTTTCATTACCAGAGTTGATTTGCTGATCTAACTGGCTAGGCAGGTGTCTCCTTCCCCCCTCACCACTCCGTGTGCACCCCTCCCTGGAATCTTTGTGCTCATTGAAGAGGATGAGCTAGAGAAGCACTGTCCTTTCTTTGGTCAAAGGTATGCCAGCAGCCTTGCTCCCCAGACTCGATTTCTATTCATTTGCTCAGATGTCGCTCCTGGCCCTGACTTCTTACTGCTACTGGTTGTCAGCTGCATCATCAGAACACTTCCTCTTAAATTTTTTTTTTAAAGTCATCTGACAAAAAGAACAAAGATAAATATAAAAATAAAAAACAATTTAAAAAAAGTCATCTGTGTCTTTAGAGTTGATGAAACCATATAAATTTATAGTTGAGAATTAAGGAAATACTGGAGAGCAAGCGAGGAAGGCAACAATACTCATACCCCCTAAAGATCATAGCTGCCAAGGCGATCAGAGGTGTGTGTGTGGGGTGTGTGTGTGTGGGGGGGTGTTCCTTTAGATGTCTTTAAGGCACAGATATGTGCCCATTCTTTTAATGACCTACTTAGCTGGCTTAATCACTTCATAAGTTCCGGTGGTGTAGTTGATAATTAGTTGTGCCCCTGAGCCAAAGGAAGGTAGAACCGCTCTAGCAATTAGAATCCACCGTTGACTCTGAGAAAGAAAGACAGGCAGTCTTCCCCTTTGTGATTTTCAGCCTCTGAAAACCTGCTGGCGAGTCTGCTATGAGCTGGTTCCGGCTTGACAGCAGTGAAATGGGAGCTAATGTGTCACTTCATATGGGGTTATCTCATCACAGTGTGAGAATCCCGCTTTGGTTGTCAGAAGGATTATTGTAGCTGTTTAAACAGATGCTCGAAGGGTTCAATGAACTTTTGGTATAAATTTGGATTTTTTTTTCCAACTGTGGTTAGTATTTTACTATTTTTTTGGCTGTATTATTATTTGTGTTTATTTTCTTTTATTTTATATTGGTTTACATACAAAATTCATAAGGTTCATATACATTATTTTTTACACCCATAGTGATTGTTTCGTGATAGAGATCTCAGGCATTACAGACAGGAGAGTTGATAGACAGGGTTCATTAAACACATTAAGAATTTCACATTAAAAATATTAAATAGCAGTTAAAGGTAGAATTGCGTCTTTGCCCGCTCTCCTGGTGTGGCCATAATAATAGTCCTCAGCTGGGAATTGTTCCAGTGGGGGCGCCTTGTCTTTCACTGACCAGGAATGACTAAGAGAGGCTCAGTGGCTCCACAGGAACAAAGCTTTATTAGGCAGAGGTTGCTTATAAATGAACATGGCAGGGGCTATGCCAGCACTAGCCCTCTGCCTTTTGAAGGGTTTCATGTGGGAAAAGGCATCATACTTATTCATTAAAATTATGGAACTGGGTGGGATTTGGAGATCAGGTAAACACACAAGCATGGTTGCAAAGACTTCTGGGAGATGGCTGGTACATCACAATTTCAGGGGGCATAGCTCCTGAAGATGCTGGTTCTAGCCCCCTGGGGGAACTGTGTTCTTCCCATTCTTTATGGAAGGTCACCATATGAGTCATTATACATGCTTGGGAGACTGAAGCCAGTGATTCTGAAAAACATTTTGTGGGTGATGAGTTAAATATAAGGGAGCTCTGGTAGCATAGTCCTAAAGGTGGCCAGTTCAAATCCACCGGCAACTCCCTGTGCAATTTATAGCCTTGAAAAACAACTGTGCTCTGATTCAGCATCAGTGATTTTGAATTTGTTATTGAGTTAAATGTAAGCCTGCAGGCAGGGTTGTTCTGTGTTCTGAAGTGAAGATTTTGTCTTCCTCAATCTTCAAGCATTGACCGACCTTCCATTGTTTGGTTTTAGGTCCTAAGGAAAAAGAAACAAGCTTGGGTATAAAAATGAGGGCTTTAGTGCTTTTGGAGGTGGCCTATGCTTAACCAGCTCCAGTGACTTCTCCATGAGGCTGATATTAGGACAGGTGGGAGCCCCCCCACCCCCACCCCAGGCTGTCAGTTCTCACAAAGCTTCATTGTTAGCTGTGTCACATTGGTCCCGACCTCCTGGTGACCCCATGCCTGATGGAAACAGCATTCTGCTCCTGTACCATTACCATGATCCGTGGGCTTCTCACAGGCTGATGTTCAGAAGTAGATCAGAATTCCTTTCTTCTATTCTTAGTCTGGGAGATCTACTGAAACCAGTTCTGCATCATAGTACCACGTAAGTGTCCGCTTATCTCACACCTTCAGTGCATCACACGCATTTGCCAGAAATGGAACTTGTGTATCTTGTGTGTTATTGTTGTTATGTGCCCTCAAGTCAGAACCTTCCAGAATTTTAATGAATAAGTATGATGTCTTTTCCCACATGAAACCCTTGGAAAGGCAGAGGCAAGTGTTGGCATAGCTGACCTTTGGTAGGTTTTCAGAGGCAGTCAATTCTGCGGGAAGAGATTGCCTATCTTTCTTCATCGGAGCAGCTGGAGCATTTGAACTGCATGTCTTTGGGTCAGTAGTGCAACTCCTTAACTAGTAGCCAGCCTTGGAGCTGGATGGTGAGTAAATAAAATCCTCAGAGCTCTGGTTCTTCTGTTGTGGGGTAGACAAAGCCTGTGGAGACCTAGGGTGGTCCAGGAGCTCCCTGTGCTGGGCCTCCCTGTTCTGGCTCACCCACTGTCAGCCCAGCCTGTGAACTATGTGGTGGCACCTGTGGGCTCTGCTTGAATTAGTTGTTCGCTTAGTTTAATCACAGTGAAACCTTCCCTGATGCATTGCTCACAGATGCTCAGTAATTCTTAAATAAATATGTGATACTTCTGTGCATGTATGTGTATTCTCCTTACGCAATACAATGCATGAAAAGCATTGGTATTAATAATTAATGGTAATTATTAATAAAAGTATTTCAAGTATAAACCCATCCACACCCATATATGGCTATTATTAGAAGAGTCACATTCTTGCTTTCCTGTCCCCCTTTTTTATTTTGGAATAGAATATATGGCAGAAATGAACTGTATTTGTTTGTGTGGTTTCAAAATATTCTCTGTCCCTTAAGTAACTAGTTCCCACTGAGATTCTCTAATTAGATCAGGGGTTGCCCCATTGTGACCCCATTCTGATAATTTATCTTTTAAAAAATTTTCAAACTTTATTATTATACTGGTTTATTTACAAAGTTCAAGTACATTGTTATCAACATGCGAACTTTCCCATTTCCTTCACACATACACACCCCCCCAACATATTTTATTATTATAATTTTAGTGAAAGTTACAGAAAGAGTAGGTTTTCTTTCATTCGTTGATACACATTTTTTTTTCTTCCCTCCCTCAGTACACTTTGTAATACATGTCTTGTTCTAGGTTCATATATAAAATTTTATTGCAGCATTATTCACAATAGCAAAGAGAATAGAAGCAGCCCAAGTGCCCATCAACAAACAAATGGATAGAAAAACTGTAATATGTTGACACAGTGGAATAATATGTGGTATTGTAAAACAATGAACTTGTAAAACACTACAGAACATAGATGGGTCTTGAAGATATAATTATGCTAAGTGAAATATCCAAGTCACAAAAGGACATATACTGCATAAGCCACTGTTACAAAAACAGAATGGACCTAGGAACTGAGGGTGGGGGTAGAACAGGAAAAGAGTGGCTAAATAATGAACATTGCACTGGGATAGATCAAAGGACTATGTGAAAGGAATAGATGATTAGACAGTATGATGGTTATCTCCAATATAAGAATTGCTCTTTAACCGATCAGATGCCGTCACAGACCTGGCCTCTCATGCTGGTTACTATGGGAATCTAGTGGAGGAATCCATGGGAAAGTGTTGCCTAGTGACCGAGGAGATTGAGCGGGACCTGCACCGCTCCTTACCGGAGCACCCTGCCTTCCAGAACGAAATGGGAATCGCTGCTTTGAGGAGAGTTCTTACAGCCTATGCCTACCGGAACCCGAAAATTGGATACTGCCAGGTGAAGTTGTGTGCACTGAGGGGCAGGCTGGCTCTTGGGTTTGTCCACTGACCCTTCAGTTCTCTGCTCAGCCATGCAGGCTGAGGGGTGTGTGTGTGTGTGTGTGTGTGTGTGTGTGCTTGGCACTGTGAACACACGATATGCTATCTGCCTTTGAAGGATGTATTCTAGTACAGGTCAAGAGCTCTGGTGGCAAAAAAAAAAAGAGCTCTGGTGGCTTAGTGGTAAGGAATTGTGCTGCCAGTACAAAGGTACACAGTTTGAATCCACCAGCTGCTCCATGGGAGAAAGATGAGCAGTTTCCTCCTGTCTGATTTACTGTCTCCAAAAATCCACAGGAGAGTCAGCTGTGGGTCGATTCCAACTCAGTGTTACTCAGCATCAGGAAGATAGGTCAAAGGGCATAATCTTTGTGTGATCAGATTGGCTGATAATGAAAATAAAGCACATTCTTGTAGACCCTAGAGATGAGAGAGAAGTGCTGTGGTTTCCACTCTAGGGCTGAGTTCATCTTCAGGACTCATCGACAACCTCCACTTGGGATGGGACTCCTCTGACTTTTTTGTGGTTTGATTCCCACCCCCCCCAGACTGCTACAGAAATCAACAAAATGGCATGTGTGAAAGGAGGGAAAAGATGCTTAGGGCAAATCACCCTCCTTCCAGAAACATAAACATATGCCCTCTGTACTACTTCTGAATTCAGGGGTATATTTAACAAGCACAAAAGAAAAAAAAATCAGTAAATTAAAAGAACAGTGAATCCAATCAGGATCAGTGAGAGAGATTTCTGACTTGTTTGAGTCTAAGAGGTCTTCTTTAAATGAGCTGAATAAAGTTGTGCATGCACACAAGTGTGTGGTGCACACACACACACACATCCACCACCACCACTAAATCCAGCCTTACCAGATGAAAGCCAGTAACTTGGCGCTAAACTGATCCTTCTTATGAGGACCTATGTTGACATGGTCCGCCTGTGATCTACTGTTTCTCTCATTTTGCTGAGTCTCTATCTTTTTTCAGTCAGCTGTACTTTTCCTTTCTCTGTGATATCACATGACCTGGTCGGTAACTTTCTGCTCCTCTCTGCCCTGTGAGCAGTCCATGAACATCCTGACGTCTGTCCTGCTGCTGTACGCCAAGGAGGAGGAAGCATTTTGGCTGCTGGTCGCTGTGTGTGAGCGGATGCTGCCCGACTACTTCAACCACAGAGTGATAGGTAAATGCTCCCACTCTCCTGTCGTCTCTGCCTGGAGAATAATGGCAAAGCCTGAGCTAAGACATTTATCGCCAGTCTTAATAATAAAACCCCAAGGGCCCGTCAGCTCACCTCTGCACAAATACTCCAGCTCTTGAATTTGAAAATGAACTCATGCAATTCTCTCTCGAAAGTGGTGCTGCAAGGTAACTCAGACACTCTCCTGCTGCAAGCAACCTGAGTGCTTTGGAGACATGAAAATGTGTGTGCATAGGTAGATAGCTAGCTAGCTAAGCTTCAGGAGAAGCTCTTAGACCCAGGAGCAAATGTTGTTATGTGCCATCGAATCACTTGTAACTCATAGCGACACTATGTACAACAGCCCTAAATCCTGCTCTGTCCTGTGCCAATCTCACTGTCTCTGACACACCCACCGTGATTACCCCAGTCACTGAATCAGAAGCAAGTAGAGAAGTGAAAAGCATAGTGGTTGTCACTAGTTGTGTGACCTGGGCGAAGGGAGGGTATGCTGTCCTTGAGAATTCAGGGACCTCAAAATGACAGGAAGTGCCCTAATTCCTCTGGGCTGGATGAAGCTGGGTCTGTGGTGCAGTGTGGGAGATCCTCAGGATCTGGGCCTTTGGCGAATGAGCAAACTTGAAACAATCTCCCCACCTGCATGAGAAGATTATTGGGGGAACTGGTTTGAATGTTAGGGAGCTTGTTTGTTTCTGCCTGGGTCCTGCATAAACCTACGGCTGCCCATAGCCTTCCACTCCATGCCTGTCTTTTGTGTTACTGGGGTCTGAATTTCCTCCATTCCTATATCCAGAAACTTCCTAATGGAGTTATTGCCATGAAGATACTTTCTGCTTCATGATACTCCTAGAGACACTTTTTGTAATCTAGATGAGAGATGGCATTGGCTTAAAATTGGAGTGGTGGCAGTGAGAAACAAATAAAAGAACCAGTGGGAGAGAGAATTTGGCAGCTGAGCTTATGAAGAGGGCAGGGCAGAAAGCATCTTTATTCTGGAGTTTCGTGTCTTGACAATGGAGGGCATGTGAGGGTTCCTGGGGTGTGGAGGGGCAGGTGTGAATTGTTGGCTGGGAATGGGTGACTGCTTTCTTTGAGCATGTCAAAATGCTGATGGGGTCATGATCACAATCAATAGCTGGCCACGTATATCCAGATAAGTCTGCCTGCAAGGTATGCCCTTTGGATACACGAGGTGCCTCTCAGTGTCCCTGTGTCGACTTTCACTGGCTCCCTTTGAGGGCCTGAGCCATTAATTGGTTTCTTTCCCTTTGCGCCCTCTCATGTGGAAGGCCATTTCCCATTGTACAGAGCAACATTGAGCGATTGGAAACTGGCTCTAGTGGGAGACATACGGTCAGAGCCATTGTCAGAATCAGCAGTTGATGATTTTATTATTGTTATTATTTTATATTGGTTTACTTACAAAGTTCGTATACATTGTGTTTCAAGTTATCCTTAATTCACATTGTGTTTCAGACAATCATTCCAATTCATTATATTTTATAAAATTAATCAGCATTGAACTGTGGCCACCATTGCCTGTCTTTCCTGCTGGATCTTTCCCATAGTTGGTGTGAATGCTTTGATCGCCAGAGATCAGCTGGACCTTCCATTGGTGGTGCCGATACCTGTGAGATCACCACCTCAGTACAGGATAGAACCCGTGGGACATTCTCTGACAGTGCTGTTCTGTCCGTTCCCAGTCTGTTGCTGCCCCACCCCTACCACAGGCAATCATTTGGTACTGGTTTCTACCACTGTAGATGAATTTGGTCAGTTTTCTAACTTTACATAAATATGATCATAGAGCATACACTCTTCCGTGTCTAGCATCTTTCACGTGGCGTGTCAGGACAGGCTTCATGCTGTTGATGCAACAGTATGTCCTTGTCATTGCTGAGAAATGCATTGCTTGTTCATACCATAATTTGTTTACCCACTCATCTGTTAAGGGACATTTAAGTTATTTCCAGTTTGGTGCTATTCTAAAGAAAACTACTTGGACATTCATGCAAAAGGCTTTTTGTGAATATAGAGTAGAATATAGAATATAGAAGTAGAGTATAGAGTAGAATTGCTAAATCATAGGTTAGAAACATGTATAGCTTTAAATAAGAAATTGTGAGTTTCTAATTGGTGTGTAATGTATTCATATAACTCTTGCCAGCAGTGTATGAGAGTGCAAGTTCTGAATCCTTGTTAATAGTATTATCTGCTTTTAAATTTTAGCCATCCTCAAAAGGCCCACAAACTAATTGTCACTGAGTTGGAACCAACTTATGGCTGACCCTCTAGAGGGTTTTGGCCACTCTGGCTAAATCTGATGGCACTGCTAATCCAAAGGTGGCACTGCTCTGGTGGTTTGAATCCACTGGCAGCTACATGAAAGAAAGATGGGCAGTTTACTTCCTTGTGATGGAGAGCTTCTGAGAACCTGTAGTCATAAGTAAGCACTGCAAATAGTTTTCTCCTAGTTCAGCTCTTGCATTTCATATTAAAATCATGTCTACTGAAAAAGACCAGTCTTAAGTTTTGGCATATTTTAATTTAGGGTATGTTCTGTAGCTAATGGTTTTTGTGGCCTTAGATATTTTATTTTCCACCCCAATATTATTATCTGGGTGTTTCCTAGTATTTGCTTTTGTACTTAAGTCTATGATTAATTTTGAATAGATTTTTCTGTATGGTGTGAGGTATAAGTCAAGGCTATTATATCTTTTTCATACAGCTGTCCCGTTGATCTACACTATTTTGTTTTAAAGACTCTAATTTTCATTGCAAAAATACCTTAGTTAGGATACCAGACATAAATTCCTATGTATGTGTTGTTTTCCTCATTCCATATTCTGTCTCATTGTTCTGTGTATCTCAGCGTAGTTTTGTATTGATTTTTGTGCTTGTTGAGAATATGCACGGGAAAGCATAAACCAATTCAACTGTTTCTGTATGTACCATGTAGTGAGGATCACATTCTTTAACTTGCACAACCATTCTCACCCTGGTTCTTAGTTACTCCTCCTCCATTAATATAATCCCACGGCCCCCTGAGGTTTCTCTCTAACCTTTAAAGTTGCTAAGTTTGTTGTTGTTAGGTGCCATCAAGTCAACTATGACTCATAACAACCCTGTGAACATAAAGAAACTTTGCTCAGTGCTGCTTCGTCTTCACAATGTCCACCGTGCTTGAGTCCATTGCTGTGTCAGTCCATCTTGTTGAGGGTCTTCCTCTCTTTTGCTGACCCCTTATTTATTTTTCTAAGCATCCAGGGAACTTAGTGTGGATCTGTCCCCAGCCAAAGCTGCATGGCCTTTCTCTTTCAGGGGCTCAAGTGGACCAGTCTGTTTTTGAAGAGCTCATCAAGGAGCACCTCCCAGAGCTGGCGGAGCACATGACCGACCTCACTGCCCTGGCGTCTGTTTCTCTTTCCTGGTTCCTGACCCTGTTCCTCAGCATCATGCCTTTAGAGAGCGCGGTGAACGTTGTCGACTGCTTCTTCTATGACGGGATCAAGGCCATCTTCCAGCTGGGGCTGGCTGTGCTCGACGCCAACGCCGAGGACCTGTGCAACAGCAAGGACGACGGCCAGGCCTTGATGATCCTCAGCAGGTGGGTTCTAGCCACCTACTCTGTGGCAAGCTGGGAGTCATAGAGACGGCAGAAGCTGATACTCTGGGAGACCACAGGAGGGGCAGCAACTGATGCCAACAGTGCTGCCCCACCAGGAGCATTTTAAATTCCTTTCTACTGCAGCCCTCCTGTCACCTTCCCAGAGCCAGTGTGCCATCTGGGACTGTCACTAGTGTGTGGTAGAAAGTGTCATCTTCTCTTACTCTTTTCCATCAAATAAGAGAGTTTAGGGAGAGAGGAGAGCACACCATAGTGTTTTCTCTTTAACAACATTCAGATGTTTTGTGGTCTGGATGGGCTCACAATGGCCTTGAGCAGGGGAATTTTGGGAAATGTTAGAACTGAATAAATGACTGGATATTTCAGACATCTTATTGTTGAAAGGAAAGAAAAGCCATAGTGGCCTTTGATCTAGAACCTGGGTCTCTTGAAGCTGATGGTAAGTTGAATGACTTAAAAAGGTAATTCCCTCTCAGTGGAGGGCAGTGGTAGTGGTTGAGTGCAGAGTTCTTGCCTCTTGTGCAGGCTACCGTTTATTCCCAGCCTCCCTGCCTCCTGTACAGTGTCACCAGTGCCAAGAGAGTGGAGGACTAGTCAGCACAAGTCAGCAGCTTCCAGACTGAGAGGAACTGAAAAAAAAAAAATAAATAACCCCTGGTGATTGATTTTAAACAGTTAGCCAAAGGAGACTTTATGGACCACAAAGATCTGATGTACAGCCCTTCATGGAGAGGATACAGGACCAGGCAGCACTCAATTCTGTTGTGCAGCATTGCTGTGACACAGGCCAACCAGACAACAGCTGACAACATCCATTTAAGATATATTGGAGGCTTACCGTAGGATATACTCAGAATTTTGTGTAGTATCTCACAGGAGAGTAATGAATGCCAGAATGATATCTTTGAAGTCCAAATTGACATGTCTGAGATACCTCTTTTGTTTTGGATAGATTTCTAAGATCAATCATTTTTGGAGGAAGTATTCCTCAGAGGCAAGGGGGTGGTACTTCATCTCACATGCTTTGGCTATGTTGTCAGGAAGGGCCGGTCTTTAGAAAAAGACATTATGGTGTGAAGAGTGGAGGGTCAGCGAGAGAGAGAAAGACCCTCAGTGAGCTAGACTGACTCATTCACTGCAGTAATGGGCTTGAGCAGGCTCAGTTGTCCTTTGGTCGGTATGACTCTACTCCACAGCACTTAACAAAATCACAACTCCTTTTCTCTTAATTGAGATGGAAGTTTTGAACATGCCTTTTTCTCATGATGTGTGGAGTCAAAGGATCTGTATGTGGAAGTGTTTCAAGCACAGAGTCCCTGTCAAACAGGGGGTGTTCTGTGCTCCTGCATAGGGGTGAACACATCTATGTGTGTGGCTGTACTCAGGTTTCTAGATCACATTAAAAATGAGGAGAGTCCTGGGCCCGCAGTTGGCAGCTACCATGCCTTCTTCTCTGATGACCAGGAGCCCCCTCCTGTGACGGACATTGCCGACCTGATCCGGGACTCCTACGAGGTAACCAGGTTCCCCTTCCACACTTCTTCCCTTCTCCCTCCTCCAGCCTCACAGAGATTCTTTGGAAGAGGGGTTTTGAGGGAGGATTCCTGGGGGATTTCTTGTCTCCTCTGTGTTTGCACAGAAGGGATTTCTGTGAGCGAGTGAGCCCTTGTTTTCCTGCAGAAATTCGGAGACCAGTCTGTGGAGCAGATTGAGCACCTACGTTGCAAGCACAGGATCAGGGTTCTCCAGGGCCATGAGGACACCACAAAGCAGAACGTGGTGAGTACTGTGGCTGAGAGTTTACCCCAGAGAAACGGGTTGGGTATCCCTTTTGGTCACGTAACATAAGAATGCCAGTTCCTTTCAAATTAAGTGGAAAACTTAAACTAGGTGATTCATGTATAAACATCACTGGTTATGGAATTGTAGTTGAGCCAGGAAACCACAGCAAGCCTCAGTTTTCCTACCTGTAAAGCGAGGATAATAACACTTACCACGTAGGAGTAGATGAGGCATGATGTATAAAATGTTCAGCACAGATGGGCAGCGATGGGTGCGTGTGGCAATTGAGAATGAAATTCCTGTCCAAGCTATGTTTTGGCTGGTTTTTTTCAGCTTCCACTAGAACGTAAGAAGTTTGTCCTGGAGCACTACTGTGTCGATTAGAGGCTAGGTACAAAGTCTGGGAAAGATACCATAAAGCATATTTGTGTCAATAAGGGCTGGAAGCTGCCCCCATGGAAATGCCCGGGTCCCATCGAGGAGTGAGAGCCACAACACGCACGATGCATCAAGACCTACCAGGGTGCGGGGGAAGATGTCACTCCATCACTGTTCTTTCTTTCCCAAAGCTCCGAGTTGTCATCCCGGAAGTCTCCATTATTCCTGAAGACTTAGAGGATCTCTACAACCTATTTAAGGTATGGAAATCTTGGAAGATGAGGGAGTGAGAGGCTTGCAGCCAGGCCAGAGCCGATGCAGCCCAGCCTGCCCTAGGGAGAATCTTGCAGGGCTGACTTTGGCAGCAGGAACCGACACAGTTCTCCATCTATCAGAAGGTCATTTCTGGAACCCAGACCACGGCCAAGCATCTGTGGGCAGGAGTCAGGGTGGGTTCTGGGCAGGTATTTCAGGACCTGTGCACAAGCGGGTCCTGGTCGCACCAAAAGCCTGGTGCCCACTCCACCGTCCACTGCTGCCTCCACTGTCCTGCCCCTTCCACCGTCCACTGCTCTGATGAACACGGCCCTGAGCTCCCCTTGTACTCTGTCAAATTGGTAACACAAGGGGGCTCTGGTGGCACAGTTCATAAGATTGATAATACTCAGTATGTCAAACTGTATTTCTAATCATTGAAGGTTTCTGGTGGATGTCCAGTTTGGCTACTTAAATCACCGTGCAGAGAACATCTCCAAACATTTTGCTAGCAATTGTCTTACTGAAACAATCAATAAAAATGGGTGCAGAGAGGCAAACCCGTGGATGCCGTTCCAGTTCAGGAGCAGGAAAAAATTGCAGGAAACAAGTTTGCTGGTGAAAAATGCATCCTTTGAGGTCTTCCTCTGGTGATAGAAAAGTCTGAGAATGTTTAGTAGTGAGAGCTGAACCATATGATGAGTGTATTTAATGTCACTGAACCTGCATAGACATGTGACTGACATGCATTTAGACGGCAAGTGTTTTGTTTACCTATATATTTAGCACTCATTCGTTGCTGTCAAGTCTGAATGACTCCTAGCTGACCCTCCAGCAGTTTTTCCTAGGCTGTAAATGGCATGGAAGATTACTCAGCCTTTCTTTTGTGGAACAGATGCAGATTCAAGCTGCTAGAGAGGATTGGCCTTTGAATAAATAGTGAAATTCCCTACAGAGTGTAGGGAGCCAGAGCTCCCTATGCTACCAACAACATATTACCAAAGCTCCCTTTAATTACCACAACAAAGCAAATTAACTCTTAATTCTCCCCCCACTAAAAAACCAAGTCCCTGCGAGTAGTGCTGTAAGTCCGTTTTGACTGGAAGGCAGTGAGATTTGAGTTTTTTAAGACCCTTTGCCTAGTTTTACATTGGTTTATCTTTCAGAGGGGTTCTTTGACAAGTAGCTCTCTTCATCATTTATAGATGCACAGCATGCAAAAAAATATGCGTGAAAATATATAGTGTCTTGGATTTTTAAGAATGTAAATTTTTTATTCTTTCACCAGTACATTTTATTTTGTTTTGTTTTGTTTTCACCAATACTTTCTACAATTTTTTGAAGGCTGTTTTTAAAAATACAGGCTACTGATAATAAAATGACATTTGGTTCCCGTCCGAGGATAGGTGCTTGTATATTCCAGCATCTGCAGTGCTCTGTGTCATCCTTATGTTGTTGTTCACTGCTGTGACTCGTTGGAACCTGACTCACGGTTGACCTTCCAGTGATTTTTCAGAGACTGTAAATCGCACAAGTGGAGATTACCCATCATGGAGCCACTGGTGAATTTGAACTGCCCGAGAGGCACTGCCTTTGGGTTAACAGTGCAACTCCCTATGGACTGTGCCCCCCATGCTCCCCTTGTGAAGACCCCAGTAGCCGTGGAGTACCGTTTAAGGCCCTTGTGAATTATAATGTCCAGAGGTTCAGGAGGGACCCCCTGGCGCATTCTCTGAGGCATCTCTGGTCCTTGGTGACACAGTCATTTGGGGTGGTTTCATTTTCAGTCTATTCCCCAGACTTTACATCACCTGTTTCCCCCTTCTCTTTTAATCTTTTAAACTGCTGATATATTCATATCACGCAAAATTCAGAAAGGATAACAGTAATGAGTCTTGCTTTCACCTCTGGTCCCTTCCACTCACTGCTCCCCACAGAGGGTTAGCATGACTAGCTTCTTCTGTTGCCTGTAAATTTCTTTTGTACTTTTTGATTCTCAAATAATAAAATTTTGAGTCAAAATCACCAGACTGCAGATGGTATCTCTTCTATAATTAAAACTGTCAAGATGACATAGTAGGTATCCAGAGCTACTGGTTTCCTCTATGTCCTATAGGTTTGTCTAATAATTTTTGTTTTTCAAATCATATCAAAAGCTTGACTATATTAATTGATAGTTCAAATCTACTCAGCTGCTCTGAGGAAGAAAGACCTGGTTATCTGCTCCCGTTCAAATCAGTCTCAAAAACTTGAGGGCAGTTCTACACTGACTTCTATGGCCTCTGAATTGAAATAGACTTGATGACACACAACCATGACAAAAGTGGCAATATAAAAAAAAAAAAGTGGCAATATCAGGGAGCTCTGGTGGCTTAGTGGCAAGAAGCTGCACTGCAATCCCGAAGGCATGTGGTTCAAATCCACCAGATGCTTTACTGGAGAAGGAGGGGCAATCTCTTCCTGTGCCAGTGAACAAGGAAAATAAATTTTTAAAAGTGGCAATATAAAATAAAAATAATATCTCTTCTATGATCATAAGTATGTCAAAGTAACATATGCATGTGGGCAAGGACTACAGAGGTAGCAAGAGAAAATTGTACTGTCTGTGTGGTTAAAATGGCAGGATTGTGAGTAATCCTCATTTTTTCTTTTGCTCATGTTGTAACACCAGGGCGCTCAGGTGATGTAGTCCGCAGAGTTAGTTGCACTTTAACCCAAAGACTGCTTCCCTGTGATGGTTTGAACCCACCATGGGGGAAGGATGGGCAGTGTGCAGCCTCAGAAAACCCAGTGAAGGGTCTGCTCTGAGTTGGTTCTGAAACCACAGCAGTGAATTGGTTATAACATTGCTGACATAATAAGCAGTCATTTTACGAGATACAGCTTGGACAGAGGGAGGGTCTTGCTGGTCAGTCTTGGCCTCTTTCATGTTGCTCCCCCATGGAGTGACGCGTTCACGGTCTCTTCTCCCTCCTCCTCCTCAGAGAGAACACATGATGAGCTGCTACTGGGAGCAGCCTAGCCCTGTGCTTCAGCGCCACGACCCCAGCAGGCCCTACGCAGAGCAGTACCGCATAGACCCTGAGCAGTTTGCAAACCTGTTTAAGCTTCTCTCCCCGTGGACCTGCGGCGCCCACACCGAGATCCTCGCACAAAGGACTTTCCGACTGCTGGATGAGAACATGGACCATCTCATCGAATTCAAAGGCTTTGTCAGCTGCCTGGGTATGTTATGCCTCTGTGGGTCTTTGTTTCAGTGGATGGGCTTGGGCTGTAAGCCTCCAAGCAGAAGGCAGAGTAGTCTCTGTAGCAGGCAGGTCTGCACAGTGTGATGCATTTGTGACTGGCCTCCCAAGGCCATGCCTTTTCAGTTCTCAATTCTGCTCATGTTATTAGGAACTTGCACCTCTTCAACAGTTCGTGCATGGACGACTCGCTGACACAGGCTGCATTCTTCACGTTGTGCCACCATCCTCACCCTCCTGGTCTGAGCATTAGCATAAATATACTGCTCCCTAAAGTTATCATTGAATCATTAGATGTCACCCCAGTGGCTTTTCCGCTGGCCACCTTTACACTTTATGGAATCTGTGGTGGCACAGTTCATAGGAAGTTGCCAGTTTGAACCCACCAGTTGCTCCAAGGGAAGATGATGGGCAGCCTCCTTCTTTGTGATTTACAGCCGGGGAAACCCACAGGCGGGTCAGCTGTGGGTCAGTTCTGTGAGTTTTAAGGAGTTTGAGGAGCTGCACAGGGTGCTGCTCTCTGCACGCTCCTGGCACCTTGAGGGTGCTCATTTGGTTTGTTAGGAGCCCCATTTCTTTTTACATAAAACTGTACATTTTCAGAAAGCAATCAAGCCAGACAAAAATCCATTGAGTGAGAGAATCATTCGATAAAATGCTAGTTGAGTATCTCAAGGGAGCTCTGGTGCCCTAGTGGCAGGAAGCTGCACTGCAATCCCAGAGGTGGTGGTGGTGGTGGTTGTTGTTGTTATGTGCCGTGGAGTCGCTTGCGACTCATAGCGACCCTAT